CGGACAGGAAACATTTAAAGACACCTTTTGGACAAGTTCATTACATTTCTAAGGAAGTCCAGTTATCTTTTTGGATCGGGATAACTCCAATAATCTGTTTTCTGTTCTCCTAAGAACTATGAGTTTGGAGACAGAGTTGAAAAAGAAACACTATGCTTAGCACAAAATAGCATGCCTGTAAGCCCAGCAGTGAGAAAGCTGGAAGTCAATACACCTCAAATGCTACACACAAGAACATCTCATCTTCCACACACTAGCAACATTCCAATGAACTGGCTTTTTCTTCTCTATCTCCTCCCACTGGCTAAATTTACAATTGAAAGACTGTTAAGATATTTTAACAACAACAGTTGAAGAAAGAAGTATCATGTAAAAGGAAGTGAACAAATGACTCACCCCAGCACTAAATTCACAGTATCAAAATCCAAATGGTACACACCTAACCTTTTCTCACGTCAAAAATGAAGTTACATATTAAACTATAGATGAAATATTAAGTGGCTTGAGAAACTGAAGCACAACTATTAATTTAGTTCAAAAATTAAATATATCTAAGCTTGGCTGTTTAGAAGAATATAAACTAAAATAGATGGTTTATATTATTAAATCACAGTTTAAAAAACTTAACAGATTATGGAACATTTATGGTCAAACAAATAATACTTTAAAGAATGAAAAGTGATCAAAACAAAAATTATACCCTACACCATTATGTATGGGATACATTTCAAATCTGTTATGTTTTTGCCAATTTTACCTTCTACATGGAGCCCTTCTATGGTCCATGCTCATCGGCTCACCAATGGCATACACTCAAAGGATTCCTCTTTACTGGTAGTAACTATCTCAGGACCTGATTCTATGAGCTATGATTTGGTGCTTGCAGCATCTTCAGCACTGTGTGTGAAAATGAAGGCAGTATTTTTGAATATTTTTCTTTGATGTACAGATAAGCAGGACTTTTGAAAGAGGAGCAGCACATTTTAGAAACAGAATAATCAACAAAAAACCAAATAGATGCTGCTTTACTTTAAGCTAAAAAAAAAAAAGGCAACAAAAACCAGAAACAAAAACCTGTACCAGACCATCTGTAAGACATACAAACATTTTAAACTATCAAAATATACAGCAATTCAGTTGAAGTATCAAGAAACAGGATACACTGACTGCTATATAGATAAAATATTATTTGCTGTACTGTTAACATTTAATTGGTGCACATGCTTTTTCAGTTAAAACATACTAATCTCTGAAACTCCAGAACCTGTTTTCCTACCATGTCAAGTATGAATAAGCAAACTAAGTTATCTAAAAATTCCACTAACACACTATAACTGTAAGACAAGTTATCAAGTTCAGTGATAACAACAAGTCATATTCTCTATATTTAGGTCTTACGGGTTTAAGTGGGAATAGTGCCCTATTATAAAAAAACATTTGTGAAGGCTGTTGACGTTTCTAACCAAAGCAACTCCTGCATATTTTAAAGGTTTTGATTCTTTAATTGCAACAATTAGCTGTTTGAGGAAAAATAACAAAAATTACTTAATCTGATAAAGTTTAATTACTGCAATCTACTCATCTTTTCTTAAAAAAAAAAAACAAAACCAAAAACAAAAACCAAAAAAACCAACAAAAACCCAAAACATATTTACCTAGAAATATAAACAGTTGTTTAAAAACTTAAAAGACTTTCCACTGAAATGGAACCGTGAGTAACAATGCATTTGGGGAAGCAGCAGATTGCTTTTCAATACACAACCACAAAGATCTCACAGGGACAACATTAATGTACTGAAATATATTAATTTATATACTTCCTTAGGTTGTGCTTACCTGTTGCTTTTTTGCAGCAGAACCTAAGGTGGAAGGTCTGGGAAGGCACTGTGAAGTATAAATAATTGCACTGTTTGCAATTAATAAAGATTTTATACCTTAAATGAATCAAAATCAACAGCCTCCATTTTGTGAATGATAAAGAATCCAGTGAATTTAATTTTGCTCAGTTTAGTACATAATAAATGCACCATTCTCTAAGGTTATCTACAAAATACCATGCAAAATATCTGAACTATTAAACTTCATACCCTACACTAAAGATAGCAAATACTGTCCTAGCCTTTTTTAAGCTACCAGAATAATTCCTAATTTTAAAAGGGATAAAAATAATTCCTTCTATTTCTACAGCACAATACATACATTGCTAGTTACCTGAATAAACTACTTCAATTGTCAAGCCTTAACTTTTACTTCTCTGTGCAGCCACCCTAAAAAAAATTTATTCTCAAAGCAACAATATGGTGTTCCAAAATATAAAGCAAGTAACAGTTATAGAATTATTTAAAACATACCTACATCACTACATGTCTGCAAACTATCTGAAGACAAAGACAACTTCTGTCTAACAAGTGGTTCCGAAGACTTCAATGTTACGATATGCATACTTTAAAACACTGAATGATACAGCTGTCTCAGGAGTACTAATGAAAAGAACTATTACTCAGATAAACAGAAACATGATTTTCTTTAGCTATTGCTAAACGTTTCAGGAATACTTACCCACCAAGCTCATATTATGTGTATGTATATATATATATATATACGCAAACCTATGTTTCTGAATTAAGAAGCAATTATGATTTCCTAAGATATCAGCACTGTATTCCAACATAATAGTCACACAAGTATGGCATTTTCATTATGTGGAACATTGACAAAAAGATACTGTTGCAGTTCATCAATTTGTCATTCTGATGTACTTACAGTGCAATGCTCCTTGAAGGAACAATCAAGGATGATACACAGCACAGTCCTCCTCACCCCTATAGAGCTAGTTCTATACTGGCTGGATCAAACCTGCACTTCAACAGACAATGGCAAGACAGACTGTATTGCATGTAGTCTAATATACGCAAAGAGCCAATAAATATGCAAAGAGCAAACATAGGATTTCAAGAGAATCAGATTTTTAGTATGAGCATTAGAGCAATAAGAAGTTTCAAGTATATATAAAAAAATAATCAATTGATTCAATACTTGAGTATTTACAAAAACAGAAGTTATCTGCTCTGCAGGAAGTTCTCAATCGCTCCCCACCACTCAAACAAAACAGCGTTTTAAGGACAGATGCAATTTTTGTAACTACTATGCATACCACATTGACTTTTCTACACTGAATTTGGACTGCTTTAAACTGAAGGCTTAAGCACATTACACTTAAAATAAATTTTATAACTAGTCTGAAAAATCGGTAAAATAGTTATGCAGGAACAGTTTTGAAGTATTCAATTAAGAACAAAAGTTATCTGTTATAGCAGCTGCACAGGTCTGAAACAGTGGTCATGTATAAAAGGAAATTTCACTGTTAATGCAATGGAAGTATGCCAAAAGATCACCTTCTTAAACACATGCAATTTTAATCAAATAGAAAGAAAATTAAGGTATCAAGATTACTGGTGCTAGGCAGCAAAATACAATGAATGAAAGAGATCCTCCATCTACAACTATTCTGCAAGAAGGGAAAAACATGCTAACGACAAGTTTTTAAACTCAACAAGGTTTCATGGGGGGGGAAAAAAAAATCTCATTTGTGTACAGGTACCTTGATTCAGCGTTGCAAATCAATCCTATAATTCTTTATGTACCCACATATCCAACTTACCGACACAGGAGGTTTCATATTATTTATTGTAAAGCACAAAACAGGCATTTTAAAAGTGATAAAGTATACATTGAAAAAGTACATTTATATCACAAAGCATTGACCACATAATTGCAAATACATTTGCTGGAATGTGTACATCTACACTAATACTAAAAACAAACCATTTTTCATTTCTACACAGAAATATTACCTCCTATCAGTAGTGATAGATATTTTGTACATTTTCAAAAACACTATTTTTTTAACCAAACAAAATTAAGATCTTCATCAAGGCGTCTGCATCCATACATTTAACAAAGGTTTTTTCCCCCACACAATGAAGCAAATACTGTATTGTCCACTTCTTATTATTGGCCCTGTGCAGAAGAGATACATAAGAGATACACAAAAAGTTAAAGAAAATCCTTTAAATTGAGCTAACTCAGGAGTGAAGCCTTTAAGAAGGAAAAATTGGTTAATGTAAATGGTGGTGGCTTCTTGCATGGTTTTCAAAACCCTGGGAGGAGAAAGTTTTTCTTTTTTTTAAAAAAAACCATAATCACCAAACATATGGATAGATACAGAACTCAAGTTATCAGGTAAACAAAGCCATGTATTAATTATTCTGATAGTTATTTCGCTATAAAAAAAGATGCATACTCCAAAGGTAACAAAGCAGGAGACATGCAAAAAAATATCTATAACCACTGAAATGGAAGCCAGTCAAAAAAACCACTTAAAACTTTATACCTGTGGTGCTGGAGGATGTTGTGGCATTCCCTGTGGACTCGTCTGGGCATAATATGCTGCCTGTTGCCTGTAGTACTCAGCCCATGCGGCGCTGTAATCTGGCTGACCACCTGGCGGAGCCCCAGCAGGGGCAGGAACTGCTTGACCTACAAGTAATTAAGATTATATAGCTTTGTTGCTGCAATAGAAATGAGAAAATTTCAAAATCTCACTGCCTAACAAACATCCCCTAGCTTCTTGCAATATTCCTCCAAGGCTTTTCAATAATCTTGCGGCTGCTTTTTTTTACCTAACCACTCATCCTATTATTTTAATGTAACAATTCCCATGTAAAGCAAAATTGAGGAACCGTAAGGACAGTTTTTTCCACCTCTTGAATCATGTTTCAGAGCAAAAGTCTTTAAAGCCTGCTGACCTAAACTGACCTGAACAACCGGTAGCATTTAAGTTAAAATACAGGTCAACAGGCAAGATTACTTTTTGTAATCCACCTAGACTGACTTTATCTTATTGTACAGACTGCATTAATTAATTTACCAGATGCCAATTCGTTCACTCCCCCAATTTTGGGCTCCTTAATGCAACTGCTAGGTTATTGCAGATTACATTTTTCAAAAAGAGCATTAATTTTTGTAAACATTTACTCCACCATAGAATATAGTCCTGAAACTTCTCCTTCCAACTTTTGCTTTAGTTCTGATCCTCTAGAAATAACAGCATGTACACACACACACGTACACACACACACTCCCCCCCCCGACAGCTGAGAACTACCGGTCCTTCCAACAAAATCAACTTGCAGCTTAAAAACTTTATAAAGACGATAGACTAATACACAAGGACTCTTCAGTGTATCAAAAAAAAAAAAAAAAAAAAAAATTACAGCCAACTTTTTAGGACCTCAGTCATGCTGTTCTTCCAAGGAAGGTTTGTCGCAGACATCTTTACTTCCTTTTTCCCTTCTCTTATTTCAGAAACATCAAACACACTCCACTTATTACCACTATCTTCTTCACAATTTTTTATCTGAAAGGTGCTTTTGCAGTTACTACTGCAGAATGTACCTGACTATAAGCAGAACAACACACTCTATCCAACCATCTGTCCTCACACTTGCATGCATACAGACAGAAGGGTTTTATATGGAGTGCTTCATTTTAAGTTTCTTGAACTTCCAAAACAGAGCAACTATTACTGTGATACAACATTTTTGTGATCTACATTCACATTCTTAAAGGGTTATTTTTTTCGTATCAAAGTTTTACAGTCAGAATTAGGATACTATCAAAAACTCACCACCTCCAAGTTTTTCTAGGATACTAGGAAAAAAAAAACCAAAAACCAAAACACCACATCCAATCACACTACACCAAATAAATCCAAGCAAAATGCAAGCCTGCACCCTGTACAATGTGCACGTAATCTTCTGTTCTGCCATCAAGAAAAAGGGGCAGCTTCCACACAATGAGGGCTGAAAGGTTTCAATCCTACCTGAAACCACCTAACCTTTTGTTTGGATACAAGACCGCTGAGCAACCTTCTGGGGAACATGAGTATCAAAGATTCTAATGAACTGTATTCTAGGGTATCAGACAGAAGGTTGGTTTGGTTTGTTTTCTAAATACTTTTACACAGAAAATTCACATAAGAATACTAGCTACCCACACTCCTCTTACATACGTGTGTATTCTTCCAATCCTCTCAAAAACATTAAGTGTGAGCAGAGAATCTGAACATTTGGCAAAGCACTATCCTGAACGTCTTCAAAATACAATCTTCCATTTTCCAACCCTGTATACAACTTACGTGGTTTTTCCACTTACACTGTAGATATATTAAAAAAACCTCTCCATCACTTTTTGGGTTATACAGTAAAGCAATTGTTTTCCTAGAAAAACTTACTTAAATTTCTTCAAATCTTAAGAGCTGAAATCACAATTTATAATTATAATTTACTACAACTTACAATTTACACTTCTGATCAATTATTTTAACCAAAATGATCTTCAGTATGGTTACAAATTATCCCAGGATACACTTTTTGCAAGTTCACTATTAATTTATGAGATAATTCTAATTACAAATCATTTAGCTATGTCATAGCTGTCAGCACAACTCAATGTCAAAGCTAAGGCGTTTTTTGTGTAATATGACCCAAGAATCTTCTGACGTTCAGCCAACTATCCCAAGGCAGTGTTGCACTTCAAATAATAAATGCAGTATAGGAAATTTAACATCTACTCAAAGATGTCAAACAGGACCTTCTGTCCTGAAATAGGTTAGTAAAAATTCAAAGTATTTTAGCTGCATCGTTCTCCTACTAAGTACTGCAAGTAATTCTGAACCTACACATGGAATTCAGCAGTTTAGTTGAAACTTCTTTTCAGTGTACAGAACTGCACTGACAGTACATGCTTATTAATATCCAGATTCAACTGGAACACTAATAAACAAGATTGATAAACTACATACAAAGGAAATACAAGAAACGCAGAATACCTTCCCATTAAGGAAGGTTAAGAAAGAAAATGCCAGATGATTCTACGGTTCTTCCACTACTCAAATCAAAGGTGATTCTAACAAGAGAAAAAACCTGTTCTTTGTCCTCCTTCCCGCTACAATGCTGTGGAATCATTGAAGAACAGTTCCACTACTTTATTATGGAATCCCTTAACTAAAAATCAAGCCCACAATATACTAGAATGACTTTAAATGATAAATTTACGAACTCCTATGGTGACATATAGATCATTTATCGAAATATGACTTCTTGTTTAGATGGAACTGTTATCCTTGGGAGATTTTTAGGGCCCAGTTACGCAAATCTTTATTTCAGCCCTTGTAGGAAAGAATAAAAATACTATGTCTCCAATTCAAGATAATAGCATCTGTGTCTTCAAAAGCTAAACTACTGTCTTGTGACCTGCTAATACTCAAGGGAAATTTAAAACTTCCTGAATTTATGAAGTAGGGTATCAAGCAAACAGATGGTTTGGGTCACCTACAAGATCCATGTACAGTAACTTACCAGTGTGCATGAGTAATTTTACTAGCTTTTCAGTCTTATTTTTAATTGTATTTGCTACTCAAAGCAACAGTCCCTGACCAAAACGAGAGTCTGAAAAAGGAGATGGACTTTGCCACTACATTTGTGAGTTGGAAAACAGGTTATTTTCAAGTCACTGTTCTATACACTGAAAAAAATAGGAAAGTGTTCTCTGTCATTAGCCGAGTCATACTGCACCAGTAGGAAGCCACTTTGGAAAACTGTATTATGGTTTTGATGGGAGTATTCAGGAGTGCTTTAGAGTTTTCAGATCGCTCATACTTAAAGTATGAGAAAATCCAGAGTACCAATTGCAGTAACACATCCAACTTGTTCAGCTCAGTACTGTCACCCTCATAAGCTTGCCCCATGGATTATCGAAGTAGCTTTCTTCAGCAGCAAAAATAAAGCTGCTTGGGCTCAGCAAGTCCCAAGTTTCAGACCAGTTCTCCAAAACAGCTGTTTGTGTAATTATCCATGCTGTGAAAAATCTGAGAGAGTCCTTGAAGAGTGAGTGACTTGTAATTCCTACCTTCCCCTTTTTGCACAAGTTAATAGGGACAGAAGCATTACAGTACTGTAGAAAGCACATACAGTAATAGCTGTATTTGAGAGCCCAGAGACCACATGAACCTGCTGATGGACAGCCTGCCTGTTCATCAGATCTACTACTTAACATTGTTGTTAAGGAGGTGGGGAAAAACACCTCCATTTAGCACTAAATCAACTCTAGGTGAATTCTCCGCCCTTCAACCTCACTCAGTCAGTTCTTCCTCTTTTCTAAGCGGATGTTAAGATTTTCAACATGCTGAAGAAGCAAAAAGTTCTCATTATTTACACAATCAAGTTATACAGGTCCAGACATCAAGAGTGCTCCTTCAGGCAAAGAACTCACTTTGAACTAGAAAAAGAAATGAAGATCAAAACTGCCCTTCTGTTTTCCCTCTTCTTTGATTGTTGTCTTGGGATTTTTTAATTTTGCATTTTAAGAGCAATTCTTTACATCTCCCAATGTCTATCTTTTTTGGGTTCACACTTCTCTCTGGACTTGCTCCCAGAAACTCTATCCCAACACTTTATAACTAGCTATTATTTAATTAGAGCAAACGCAAGGCTAGCGCAACCCAGACTTTGCTTTCCAGATAGCAAATGAGAAAGATGGCAGAGCCCCTGCCAACGAATTACATTATTCTTAAAAAGGCAGTGAAAAAACCCCACAACTTTGCATCGAAGAATGTGAGCTGAACTAACAGAGACAGTAAATGGAAAAAAAAGTAGTTAAATGAAACAGGAAGAGGAAAAATGGAAAGGCCCATCACATCTTAAAAATCATGTGTTTGGGAGTTCTGTTGCAATTTTCTTAGTCTGACACACTATTCTTGAAGTAAATCATCATTACATATTTTCTGTTTCATTTCATCACTTATGCTGTGCCAAAATAAAGAAGAATAAAGGTAAGTTATGTCTTGGCAAATAATTTGAGATCAATCTGGTAGAAGGCTGGTAAGAGGAATTGAACATGCTATTAATCTTAACTCAAATGCTTTTCCATGAGAAAATTGGGTGCAGTTGGAAGAGGGCAAAAAAACCTCACCAAACCCTCCCACCCACCCAAACAAACAAGAAATCCAAACTAGATGCTACTGTATGTCTGGTCAAACAGATACCATGGAAAGCACTGGCATTTATAAGCCCACTAGTCCTCAGTATACAAGTCGACATCAACCACAATATCCATGGAAGGACACTGTGGACAAAACACTGACCTGCAAGACATTCTCATTATTTAAAAGATAGCACCACCTTCTGCCAGTGCATCAAGACCACATATTCTTTCCTTAATCAGTAAATGATGAAATCATCAACTTATAAAACTGAAATGTATTTGCTTGTTAAGTCAGCTCAAACAAAATATTTGGAAAAAGCTAGCAACAAAATATAACCTGCAGTTTAAACACAGCTCTTAAGTGCTGCAAAGCAAATACTATTTTAAAGAGGGCACGATATAAATGAAAGCTAGTTACAATGCTTTAATAACCTGGAACACAGAAAGCAAGTTACAAGAAAAAAAAAAAATCTGTAATCTTAAGAGCATTAGGAAACAACTACCAAAGACGACAAACAACAGCTTCATAAAGTAGATCACAGTTGAACTCCTTAACTTATGAAATATACTTTAAAAATATACTTAAAAATACTCAGATTGAAGTATTTAAAAGAAGTTGTTTCCCAATGATCAAATATAGACATCTCATTAGGTATGAAGTATTTTTGCAAAGCTAATTACTAGCATGAGTACAAGTAAATGCCTTAAACACAACACAAATTTTTAAGTCTGTTTTTCTGCAGGGTTCAGGGCTTCCAGCAGTATATGGTTCAGAAGACACACGGATTGTGCATTTTTTTTTGGGGGGTAAAAAAAGCCCATCTCAAACGAGATATGCAAGTCTCCTAAAACATTCTACTATGAAACAACAGAAAAAACCAAGCACACATACCCATTTTTTTGTAGTACTCCTCCCAGGCCTTGGTATAGTCAACCTGCCCTGCTGGTGCTGGATTTGGCTGATCTCCTGAATTACATTAAAAATAGTCAAAATAAAACTACTGGATTTTGTTTCATACATAGAACAGTTTACAAATAATCAGCTGAATTTTTCAGTGACAATCCCAAATAACATCACTCAAACCTGACACTATAAACCCATGTGGTACAAGCTACTACAAATATAAACAAGTAGTAAAAGACACCACAAAGAAACAAAGAATCATTTAAAGTTTTCAGTATGTTTTCAAGATTCGGGAAATGCACACCACTCATGGTACAAAATACTACTTAAAATTTAAGCAGTAAGCCTCATCCAGGCACAACAATTATACTAATACAACTAAATACTACAATTGTAATTGTCCTAAAACCACTGGAAGTGATGCAACTGTTTAAGCAAATGACAATCAACGGTTTGGCTCATTCCACTTTTACTTATGACTGACTGCACTATGTAGATGCAATTAAGTCAGCCCAAGTTGCAGCAAAATTCTCTTTGGAGTATATTACATGATAAATACATTACCCTTATTATGGCTGAAATTAAGAAAAGCAATGTTGAAGGCTGTAAGCAAGTTTTCCAAAAAAGCCAGCTACCTTACAATAAATTTACCCAATATATGACAACAATAATAAAAAAATAACGGGGCATCTACACTCCTGGCAATGAGAAATTTATCCATTTTACTAAACAGCTACCTTGTCCATTAGTTTGGGTTGTAGCCGGTCCACCAGGAGGGGCTGCAGGTGGTGGCTGTGCTTGCTGCTGATAGTAGTGAGCATAGTAAGCTGCCCATGCTGCTGAATTGGGATCTGTTCCTGGCTTACCTATGAAAACAAACCATAAGCATTTATAAAAGTAGTATGAACGGAATGCTGTCCTCAATTAACCCTGTCCTAAGCACTCATATTTTCCTCCACGGAAAAAACCATCTAAACCAAATAACCATCCTGTAAGTATCTTTTCTTTCTAGCACAAACTTTCGATTAGGTTTCAGACAAGTGTACTGTACAAAGCATACTTTCATAAGACTGATGAAATAAAATCATTCTAGAACCCTTACTACTACAATGTCATTTATTAATTTTTAAATGTGGTAACAGAAACAGATTTTCAAGTTTAATTAAACAGTCATGTTACTAAACGGTAGCAACAATGAATCATTCGAGCACCAAACAATTTCAGTGGTTTTACTTTTGTTATAACCTCACACTAATGACACTGGCAAGAGGCGGAGGAGGCATGCCAAATACATATTTCTGAAACAGAAGAATACAAGTCTTACTAGGTATTTGCAATGCTTGTCAGTTAAACTTTTTAAGGTAACAGTAAAATACAGAGAGACATAGTATTTTAAGAACCTGAATCCCCATACATGGTTATAAAGCATCACTGTTTACTTACAGCTTTTTAGTATAACAAATAGCAGCAACACTTGCATCTTCTGAAGCTATCTCCATGCTTCCCTTATTTTTACCTACATCTAGGTAGGCCAACGATGCTGCTTCCTAGAGCCTTATTTCTCTGTTTTTCACATACAGCCTTTAGGAATGGCTTATTCTTGCTGAATCACAGAGATTAATTACATTACCAGATTGGCAATTCACAAAAACTGCAAATCTACTATTAGAGAATGTAATGTTCTATAACACAACCAGCATCCTTCAACATTATTTGCATCCTTGAAGAATAAAAATATCTACAAATAAATGCGGCCAACTGAGGAAAGAACTTCACATAAAGACATTGACACAACTGATACTTTAGAACATGGGAATGGAAGTATATTTCCCCCAAAAACAAAATAGGTAAGGCAGTGACTAATGGAAGAGAAAGAAGAAATCTCCTGAAAAAGGCATTCAGGGAGAAGAAATCCACAACAAATTTCTTGCAGTATTTCATTCAGCATTGAAGTCAGATGTAACCACTTAAAAAGCACACAGTAGTATCAGCATACAGAAAACAATGTTAACACGCTGTTTCCTTTTTAAATTATACTGCTTCCATCAACAATAGTGGATTTAAACTAATATGTACTATATTCTAACGTTACCTGCAAATAGCAAATAAGACATTGCTCGGTTCCCCCCCTCCTTCCCCTTAGTAGCTACTTCTCTAGAATAGAAGAACACAGAGCGGGATTCATTAAATTTCCAAAGAAATCTGACTGTAGTAACTAGCTCCACTTTCACGTGACAAGAGGCAAGCATGGTTCTGGAGAAAGCACCTCTGAAAAAAATACTAAAATAACCCATTTGTTACACTGAAATGAGCAACTAAGTGGACAACTGTACAAAACTCATCCAAGTAAATGCTAGTCGAAAAAAACACCAACTTCAACTGCACATAAGAAAACGTCATTAGATTTTTAAGAGGAGTATTTATCAAAAAAATGGTTTAAAATCATCATCAAGATGACATCAAGTTGAGTATTTGCCTTTTTCTTACAGATCTTTATGTAGATAAATTATAAAAAATGAAAAGGTAGTATGAAAAAAGGCTGTAATATTTTGGCAGTGGTTTTGGATTAAATGACACTTTTGGTATGCTGAGACTTCAAGTCAAGTCACTGTGAATCATTCTACTTTTAAATAACGTCAACAGGCATTTTTAAATACTAAACTGAATGCACACAGAGCTACCTTTTATAAATTAGGGAAATGAAACCAGAGATGTTTTTTTGCCAAGAAAGGATATATAAAAGACTTGAACATGAATAGAACTCTCTTGTAGACTGTAACATCCTCCAAAGCCCTCCCCTTTTTCACTAGTGGAACTTGTGTCAGGACCAGTGGCTATCAGAAAATATTTATTCCATTTATAACAAAAAATAAAATTGAGATCTTTTGGCCGAAGTTCTGAAGAAGCTCTACCTCAAACAAATGAGGTACAAGTGACTCAAGCATCTAGCCTTACCACGCCTTCTGTGACTGCAGTTCCGTTTTCCCTTATGCTCTAGTCCAACCAAAGGATGTAACTTAAAGAAAAGCAGGATACTAAAACTTCAGGAAGTTGTAATTAAGTAAAAACTCCCGGTCTTGAAAAAGATAAACAGAAATAGAAGAAACAGATTCTACAAAGATGGGTATCAGAAGAAAATACAAAACCATTATAAGCAAAAGCTCAAAATACACAATCCTAACTAGTTTTACTGTATTAACAGCAGCTCAACAGAATTTTTATCCCTCAAAAAGGACTGAACATAATACATTTGTATCACACTCGGAGAAGCCATCCTCACATAGGTCAACAAAAGGTAGAGATATGCAATATAGCATGAACTGTGCAAAGTCAGGATCAGTGAGATTGTACGGGGCACTGTTTAAAATAAAACGCAAAGTCATTGACTATTAGGGAAAAAAAACACATCCTCATTAAAGAGCTTTATGTAAAAACATCCATTGTAAGAAAAATGAACTGATTTGCTCAAAATCAGTTAACCGAGTCTTGCAAAAAAGTATCATAAATTGGGATGCAGAATCAGTAACGCTTAGTAAAGACGCATATTCCAACTGTAACAACTGAATTTCAACATCTCACAAGCAACATGTGGAAAGTGTAAAACATACGTAAACTGACAATCAGTAAAGAAAAGCCTGAAGAATAGGAGCTTTTTCAGATTTACCAGTGTAACACAAATGAACTGTGAAACGTATATACTTGTAAGGACAAAATGGATATACTCAAAGTATATCCACACTACAGCAAAACTGTGACATTTCTTACCTGGATCTGGTGGATTTGGTGGCTGCCAGTGCGGATAAGCATTTCCCCATCCTTGTGGAGCATATGGAGCTGGGGGACCACTAAAAAAAAAAATCAAGTCATACATATACAATGAAAGCCAGTCCCAGGGTCACCCTACAAAAAAGGAAGCTAGCTGAAGCAGTACTTACTGAGGTGCAGGGCCAGGAGGCCCTGGATTATAAGGAGCTGGGTTATATGGTCCCATGGGAGCCCCAGGACCTGGTGGCCCAGGAGGTCCATGTGGGCCAGGAACAACACCATGGGGTCCATGGGGAACAGGTGGACCCAATGGATTTACTGGACCCTGTAACAAGAGTAGCACACAGATGAAAATAAACCTTGAAGTTCTCCATTTTTCAGCAGGTTAGAAGCATAAATCTGAACACTTTAAGAATATAATCTAAAAGGTTTGACTATTTTCAAATTAAGACATTTCCCTGGAGAAAACAGTCTTTCTGAAGATTAATTAGGCTTATGGCTAGTTAAACAAGAGTTAAAAGCAGCTGTGGCAGTAACAGCAACTAAAAAGCTGCATTTATTTCAGTTCTTTCTTGAGGAAATAAAGAATTTTACAAATAAACATGGATTTTTCCACAAGCTGCATTAAAAACCCCCACAAATTAAAACAAGACTATGTTTTAAAATAAACTGATGTATCTAAATCTGGCTAATCTTGCTAATTAAATCTGTTTGTAAGATCAGGTACAAAAACCAGGTAGTATGTTTGATTACATGCATACACATGCAAACTGAAGTGCAGTGAATTTAAAGAGTGTAAACTTGGATTAAAACTCTACCTAAACATACTGAGACTGAAAAACTAAACACAGTTTAGTAGCTTTAACAGTATCAAGGATATCTTTGAAGTAATAAAATTTTTCATTATGCACAAAGTGGGCATCTTCAAGGACATCATTAAACAATACACTATATTACATTGAGGAAAGCAACTGTTTCTTTCAAGTTTTTGCTTCTTTTGGTGCATCAAGTTAGGTTTATATTACTTTAAACCCAGATTACCATTTATTATTATCCATTTATTATCTGATTAAGTAATTTGGCGGTGAAATGGAAGAAAAGTCTCCACAAAGGAGACTTGCTTCCTACTCTGTTTAGTTATAATAGCAAACCAAAATACAGTTATACACTCACTCCAATCTTTTCTTCTATAAGTTGTCGTGCATAATCTATTTGCTGGGGTGTTCCACGGATAGTAAACATCTTCATGTTCGGATCCGCATTAGGTGGAGGATTTCTTTGAAGTTCTATTCTAGCACCAGACTGCTGGCTTATGCTTTTAATAGTTTCACCACCTACGATGCAACATACAGCTTTTATGATATGCATTGAAGTGAAAATACTAAGATTCAAATCAGAGAAAGTCAACTGCACGGAAGCTGAAGAAGTGAAAAGACACCTATTCTTACGAGCCACACAAGAACATTCTAACAACAATTAATGAAAAGCCTCTTCAGTGTCGTATAGAGCTTTGATTGCAATAAACTAGTAAAAATAAATTATTTTTAAAATTAAAGACCACAATATTGTTACTCAGAAAGAACAACAAGGAATTCCTACGATGTTGTCTGGGTTTTTCCATTCATGTAAAGATGTAAGATTAGACATGAGTAACAACCAACACCCACGGTTATCAGTAAATACAACCTTAAAGCCTAACCTCCCTATAAAGCAGTAGGCAAGCACAGATAACAAAAAACCAAACCCAGAAGCTGACCAGATGGTAAAGTCCCCATTTTTTGCAGTGCACTAAAACCAGAAAGTTAAATTCCCTAAACTAGTTCCTCCCCTTATAGGATCCTGAGAAGTTACTTGTATCATTAGTAGGCACGAAGTTTTCAAAACAGGGGTCATTTGGCATTTAAAAAAACCCCAAAACAATCAACCTTCCAGGTCAAGAACTGAACTATGTCAGCCTATTTGCTGTGTCTGGAAAACACATTACAAACAAAAGATTAAGATAACTCCAACGTTTCATTTCAAAGCATACAGTAAATTGTTTTTAAAACAAAATTATTTGAGAAGCAATTATTTTAACACACACACATAAGTTACAGGATTCCACTGTAAAAGATCTTCACTGGAATATGTGAAAATTAGTTTTAAGAGTGAGTTACAAATGCAGTAACACTAGGCTAATCAAGCAGTATCAAATGCAAGTTAATTGTAAGATGCATAATCTAAGAATCTACCAAACACTACCAATGGAACTCAGTACTTATCACTAAAAAAAAAAAAGTGTTAGATAAATCGATTGGTTCTTGACTTTTAACTACTGAGTTATGTGTTTTGGTGAGGAAAATCTGAAAAGAGTATTAGGAGTGTTATGATTTAGCAGCATTATGTTGCTCTACTGTACATGAAACTATTTGCAAAGGCTTCTCTTGAAACATCTCTCCAGTATGGCTATTTGTACAAATAGAAAAGCTCAGTTTTTTAAACTACATATAGATACACATATGTAAGATATATTGCCTTTGCCAATGATTAATCCAGTTTTGCCAGTGGGAACAATAAAATTGAATTCCTGTAATCCACCAGGAGGCCCCATGTTCCAGTTGCCTTGGCCTCTACCCCTTCCTCGACCACCAGGTCCTGGTCCACCAGGGTTACCAGCCTAAAAAGAAAAAGCAACAAATTAGCATGTTCTATAAAAATTACTGCAAACAAATTATTAATACTAACTGGTTACATCACACCATTTGTTAAGAGAAAACTGATTTATTACTCAGATAGTTTTGACAGTTAAAGTACTATCTTTTCCAGAAGACCTAAATTACATTTTAAAATACGTTCTGTACAACTCTGCATATGAAAGATGGAGAAGGAAACGACATAGAAGAAAGCAGGAAGTTTCACATGCACAAAGACAGAATTTCTGTCTGCCTTCTGTGAATGCGGTGGTGGGGCTCATCTCAAAATAAGCATTTAAACCATCTTTTAAACACCAATTACAACCAAAAGTAACAGGATACTGGCTATTAATACAAGACAACAGAAGAAGCAGCTCTAAAACCAGCCAGATCAAGAACTGCCATGACTTTGAATCAGTATTATCATTATCATCCTGATACTTGCAAAACTGTAACTGTAAAAGCAAACATTCATATTCCAGACCGAACTTTGAAATAGATTCAAATGGCACCATTAAATTATTTTCTTTAGTTACACACTCATTTTTTAAGTTTTAAGTCTTTCCAAAAGTCCAGCAGGAGATTTTTAAATGGTAAACAACATATTACCCAACCTGAACACTTCGAAGGAGATCTGTAATAATTTCTGCAGCATGCTGACATCTGTCAGGAGGCCCTGTGATTTGGGCTATTCTATCTGGAGTTGTTCCATCATCTGGAATAAAAATGAACTATTCCAGTATATGTAATCCAGTAAATTTACACTCAATTCACAGAAACTTACAGACATATTACCAACCTGGCTTAAATTGGATCCTAACACCAGCATCGTTCTGTATCTTTTTTATCATCTCTCCATTTCTTCCAATTACAATACCTACAGCAAATCGTGGTATTGGAACCTTAAAGAGAGAAAAAAAAGTCAGGACATCGACGATGCAAATATTCCTACCAAATTCACACAATTAAAGGGTCACATATTAAAATGGTAAACTAGGGCCAGCCCTACGCCACTTAAGGCTTTCTGAAGTATTTTTTAATACCAAGTCACAAGCCTAGCAAATACTGGACAAAAGTATCAAAAGAAAGAGATCCTATGCACTACAAGTTCTCATAGTGGCAGCAATTCCAGTGGATATTATGCTTCTCACAATCAAAGAACAGAAGTTCTGAATGGGCCTAAAATGCAGATTCTAGCAGATGAAACTTTCAGCCTCACCTCTGATGAACAGTTATAAGCTCATGACTTGCATAATAGGTGGACTTAAATATTCTTCTGTAAAGGCCAAACTCCAATTTCTATAATGACATTAGATACTTAGCCATATAACTTATTTGCTTATTTGATAAAAAACTCCAGCTAGCTGAAACTGTTCAGAACTGCTGGTAATGTAAAGTGAATGCTGCACACCATTTAAAGTCATAATTTCAGCAATGATCAAGTAATACTTACATGACACAACCACTTTTGGAATCTGTTTAAGAGCTTTAAGTGGTATTACCCAGCTTAACATTTTAATGTTAACATCTCAAAATACAGTGAACAAGTTTTTCAACCATGCTTACGTCTATCCCTTCATTTCCTCCTATTCTTGACCCATATTCGTTGCGCACCTCTCTAAAGCCACCTTGATCACGAATTAACTCCAGCACCATTTCCTTGGCTTGCTAAAAGAAGAGTGAAATTTCATTTAGGTACTGCAACATCAGAATGGATTTTAAAGTGCTCTGAATTCTGAAGGACTCCTTACTTGAACTTTATAAGGGTCTCCAGTTATCCTAAGGGGCTTGTCTGCACCAGTGTTCTGTGGACCATCTTGAATCATGACCATTTTGACACCTGCCCGCTCCTATTTGACAAAAGGGAGGTCAATACCCACTAAAATCCAGGTTCGATATTATCACGTTTAAAAGAAGATACATATATACCTGTAATTGTTTAATTGTCTCTCCACCTTTTCCAATAACTAATCCTGCTTTACTTGCTGGAATCATAATTTCTTGGACTGCATTTCCAGGTCCATCACCGTGATGAAAGCCAGGTGCAGGTCTTCCCTTTTCAACTATCTGATCAAGTAATCTTTTTGCTGATCTGTGAAGGAATATATACATTTATAAATCCACTTATTCCTACAAGTATCGTGTCCACACCTATTCTGCTTGGAAATTTTTATTTTTTTAGTTTGAAAAGTTTCTGCAGGAGAAATATAATTACTATCACTAAAATATGAGGCAAACTCAGTAAATCTGTAACAGTAACTTAAGAAACTAATTGCAAGATAATGTGGTAGACCTAAAGCCATCCTAATGTCAGAATACAAAAGATGGTTCTTTACTAAACACGTGTAAGTAAAAGTTGCCTCCTCAAACATGACCATCATCCCTGAATATAGTTACACTGATCAAACCTTAATTCAGAAGATGGAAACCTTGTCCTTTAAAATATTAAAAAAAAATAAACCTGTGTTAATTAGAAGATATTAAATTGTTACAATTTACCTTTTCTAATGCATTAAAAAAAAGAAATCACCAGACAGAAAACTTTTTCTAACTTTGCTTAATTTCCGTAGTAATTCAGGTTACTTCTTATTTGACAGTAATTTCTCTTTAATCTACTAACAGCCAATCTTAAGGTAGATCTATTTTATGTTAAGTTTTATAAAAAGGCAAAAAAAACCCAGACTGTAAAATAAACCTAGCTTTAACACCAAGTACCGTGATTCAGCATGCAAAGTAAGGACATTTGTACTTGTAACCATTACCAGAATAGTGGACAAAAGCAAGTATGTATTTACCACACATGTAAGTCAGTTGCCATCAGAGTAAAATCATGATTACAGTACTAACATTAGTTAAAAACTCTTCCCTCTAATATGTGAACAGAATAAACTGTAATTAGAAAGAAAATTCCCATAAAGGAATGACTTCATTAACAGCAGCCTGCTTGGCTGCAACATAAGAGAAGAATGCCATGCTGCTTTCCCAAAGGAAAACATGTAGCTGCAGGCCTTACCTGCAAACATGAAGTGGGAGCAACTAACATAAATGAGGTAATACCAAATATACTACTACACTTAAGATCTTTCCTAGCAAAGCCAGGATAAGTTGGTCTTCAAGTGGTTATATAGCCTCTGTGCCAGTAATTAAAAAAAAAAAAAAAAAAA